GCAGCAGGGGGCAGTATTGGACCAATACAAGGCTCCATTGACTGCCATTATAATTTATTAAACATTAATATTTCAAAAATTACAAGTTTTACAGGCACCAAAAGGCTTAGCCATCATTTGGCACAGGGGCTTTACAGATAAAAATGACAATGGCAGCTCTAGGACAAAGTATGCAGGAGGAGAAGCATGGCAAAGTTGAGATGACTTGGATGGGAAATGAATCACAATAGTGTGCATTGGCAATGCACACTGATAAGTCAGGTTTGGATTTGAATCAGTAGCTACATTTTAAATCCAATGAAAGCAAGAATGTTAACTAATAAATTGGACATTCTGGCTGTTCAGTGATATTTCCACAGTTGTGGTCTTGACTGGTCTTGAAACAAAACTCTGAGTCCTCAATGTCCAGTACTGAGATAAGACCGAGTACAAATGCTGTCGAGTCCGAGACGAGACCAAGACCATCAAAAACTGGTCTTGAGACCGGTCTTAAGACCAAGACCGGTTTCAAGTACTACAACACTAGTAGCTATTATTAAGGGATATAGCAGACATGCTGATGGTTTGGATGAAGCTACAATATACTGTAGAGCTCAACAGGATAAAAAACAGTCCAAACATAAGTCAGGTTCTAGTGACACTTCTAAAATTCCCTCAGCTGACAGAGATCCAGAGGATTCCACAATGCTTCACATTGAATAAACAGGGACAACTTATTGGTAAAATGTGAACATTATAGGTAAATCTTAAATCTTACCATTTTGTCCTTGGCTCCACTTCAGCATGAGATCTACAGCATAGATTGCTCGGGATGACTGATATGGGTGGATGCCATACGGACCCAGTCGAGATGAAGCTGCTGTAAAGAGTTCCTTAAAAGCTTTAAACAACTCTGCCTGTAAGAAAGGTAAACAATAAAATGAATGTGGTATGCAAGAAAAGTATGTAAAAATATTCTTAATGAGAGCTGGGATACAGATTTTCTCTTTGACAACAATGCATGTCAAATACACAGAAACAAAAACTAATAAAAGTGTTGTCAAGGTGGAACAGTAGTTAGCTGCCACCTCACAACAAGAAGGTCACAGGTGCAAAACCCAGTGCAATGGTTTTTTGCTGAGTTTGCATGTTTTTACTGCATATACACAAGTTTTCTCATTTTCCTCCCACAGACCAAAGCCATGCATGTAAATGTAAACGTGTCAGAGTGTGGATAGTGTCTTTCATCCCTGTGATGCATTGGGCCTACTGATTGGCCTTTTGAATCATGTAATTCAAAACACTAACTCTGTTTTTTCCATAGTTTATGAACAACTTGCTGGCATTTGTTGTAATTTGGGGTTGAAGGGTGCTGTCTTTTATCCTCTGGCAAACTAACTTTCTAACACTTGCACTACTTTTGTTAGAAGCTAGGGGGCACAAATAGACACCAGGAATACAGTATATTTCCTTTCTACTGCTATCAATGTGCTGCTCAGGAAGGGAGAGAAGATTCGGCATATTCTGTTAGCAGTTTTAGATTGACTGTTTTCTGTACATTGCCTTGAGATGGCATTTGTTGTGACTTTGTTGTGACTACATGAATAACCTGAACGGAAGAATATGCCTAAATGTGCTACAAGCCTGGATCTCATCTGGTCTTCTGGGCACAGGGAGGCTGTTAGAACTTAAATACCAGCTGCAAACAAATAGCATTTCCATGGAGGTCTATAGGAGCATGGGCAAAATCTCCACAGGCGAATTCTGTTTACTAATTAGGCGACTGAAGGTAAAAGGTAGCACAAGACTATACTTTGGGGGTGAATTAAAATGCATGCCACACCTTCCAAATTTGTGTTTGTAAAATTTTTTGCATGTCCTGATGCATCTCAGTAATCCAGGTAGAAAAAAATCAAAAAGAAAAAATAAGTAGGTCCTCTGGATGGGTTCTTC